ACTCATCTTACCCTAGGTTCAGTTAGAAGTTTTCTGAATCTCAGAAGCTGGGCACACATTTTGGACCCACCCATCTCGCTAGCGCTGGAGGTAGCTGTACCTCAGCCATCACTCCCCAGGGTATCTGGACCGAGGGGCGCTGGGGTCTCGTGGGGAATGTGAAACCAGCTGAGCTTGGTGTGTGTTTAGGAAAGTTTTCCCCAGTCCTGCCCTGCCCTGCCCGGGCAGCTGCTGGGCCCCGGTGTCTTTAATCTGGTGATTTATTGAGTAACCCCCAAGCCTGCTGCTCTTCGGTTACACCGGCTTCAATCCGGAGTAGGAAGGAGGCGAATCGGGCCCACAGGGCAGAGGCCGCCGCCCCTAGGGCCTCCCAGTGCGGCCTGTGCTCGGGGGAAGCCGGGAGCCGCTAGTTAAAGCAGCCCCGAGCTGGCGCCGGGAGGAGCGGGGGGAGCCGAGCAGGCACCGCATGGAAACAAGAGAAACTGACACATTTACCTGTCACAATGTATCCATCTGCCATCTTCCCGGACTGCACCATCTGCGCCGGCCGGCGGGGGGACGCCCAATCCGCTGACTCGCATCCAAGCCGCCGTCCCCTCTCTGCCCCCGCCAAGCACAGGCCTAGGGACCGGGTCCCGCGGGGCAGGGCCGTGTCTCCCACCGCAGCCTCAGCCCCGTGCTGGAGCCCGGCCCGGGGCCCCCAGTCCCGGATGGTTCGGCCCTGAGCTTGGCATCAGGTTACTAGGGCGATGGGACTCGGCGGGGGGTGGAGGGCGGCTCAATCTCTGCTCCTGCTGCAGCCGGGAGGGAGCCGGGCAGCGCTGGGTGAGCGGGGCACGGGGCAGCCGGCAGGGGGCGGGCTCTGGGGCAGGGCTGGGGGTCACTGTGCCTGTGGGGAGGATGGCTGGATAATGACTGAGCTCTGGTCCCCAGGCAGGGAAGATGTTGGGGGGTGTGGGGCGCTGGGTCCCCAGTTGGGAGCAGGCTGGGGGGCGGGGTCGTGGGTCCCC